AGAGAGAGAGAGAGAGAGAGAGAGAGAGAGAGAGAGAGAGAAGGGGGGGCACCAGGGAGAGGGAAGAGGGAGAGGAATAAGAGAGAATCAAGAGAATGAGTGCGAGAGTTAGAAAGAGAGAGGGAGTGTGAGCGCGCTGGGCCAAAGCCGTTAAGCGGGGCCTAGTTTACGCCGCTGGCGAGGACCAGCGCGATTGTATTGTAGTGCCGTGCTTCAGCGCCAAATGATCGCAAATCTTTCCGTTCCGCCGTCGCGGCGTTTACATGCGCAAACCTCGCGTCCCACCCCACCGCGTCCGTCCCTCCCCGGCCGGCAGAGGGCTGTTCGTTCAGGCTACGCGGCCTCAGGTCGTGCTCGCGATGCGCGTCCTCCCCGGACGGGATCTGGAGTCCGACTACACGGCCATCGGCACCGACAAGAACCCGACACGCGACTCTTGGGCGCGGCGGGGCGTGGAGCAGGGGCAGCTGCTGTGGGCGCTCTGGGCGGCCTCCTGCAGCCCTCCATTCCAACGCGACAGCCCGGCCGGGGGCGCAGAGCGTCCAGCCAGAAAGCCACCCCCTGCTCGGCTGATCCCCATGAAAAGTCAAAGAACGTTGGGGCGTGGCTCCGCCCCGGGCTTTGCGTGTGGCGCGGATGCGATGAGCGCTGACCTACATAGACGCACGTTTAGCCACCCCTTGGCGCGCTGCGCTCACCCCCGACCCGACCCGACCCGACGCACCCCTCCGGGCGAAAGGGAGAGGGAGCATCCTCCCGAAGGGCCGCCCACCCCCACCACCCACCCCCAGGCTGCGCCGCCAGCCGCCAGCTCGGTCCGCCCGGCTGCAGTGGGAAAGGCCGCCCTGGCAGACGGGCAGGCAGTCACAAGGCCCATCGGCACCCAAACACAGCCCACCCCCTTGCCCTACTTCACTCAAGGCCCACCCCTCGGCCCACCCACCCCTTGGCGGTCATTACCAGAGGACACGCGCCGCCCCTGTGCAGCCCCAGCCGCTGCGTTCCAACCCTCGCATTCTACAGGGCGGCGGCGCACAGAATATTCCGTAATTACACTTTACCGCATGCAGCCGTGCGGGCGGGCCTGCCTGACATCTCTCTCTCTCTCTCTCTCTCTCTCTCTCTCTCTCTCTCTCTCTCTCTCTCTCTCTCAGCACGGCGCCTCGAGCGCGCTGTTGTTAATAAAGATGTTTTCGAAAAAAAAGATCGTGCAGAAAATACGGCGCCCGTCCTGAGAGAGGCACTCGGCACTCGGCACTCGGTACGGGAGCTCAACGCCTGCGAAACGTGAGGTAGGCCAACCCGCAGTACACGCATGTACTGCAAGCAGGATGTTGCCTACCCACCAGGCGCTCCGAGAGCTTACATGGGCTGAACTTGGCAGTTCAGTAACATCGTCGGACGGACGTACTTTCTGGACGACCCATTACTATAGCCCCGGTGCGACGCGTCCACACATCTGCGTGCGGTACAGTGTAACTGAATTGTGCTGCGAGGTCTGTGGGCCGCCATGTAGAGAGAGAGAGAGAGGGGTATTTACCACCAAAGCAGAACTTATTGAGTTTGTGATTCTGCTCCGCTTTTTTTCGGCTGGTCTGAAGACGAACGGCGCTCAGCACTGGCGGCCAGAACACACAACGTCAGCAGAGCGACAAATAATTATTCCGTCCATACCAGCAAAAGCTGGGGACACAGCTGGTGTTCCAGCCGCAAGGTCCCTTGTGCAGTTTGTTGCTGACAGCAGGGGCGGCGGGCGGGGCGGGGAGGCGGGAGACGGTGCAGGGCAGGGGAGGGGAAAAGAGGGGGAAGAGAGGGGGTCCCTCGACACAAACAGCACGGCCTGCGTGCGACAATAAGCTGACGGCAGGCGCAGTTCCCCCATCCAAAAATGACCGCCCTCCCCCTACCCTTCCCCCGGCCCCTC